CAAAAAATATATATGTAATATGACTAGATTTTCTGCTTTAAGACCTAATAATATTCCATTGTATGTATATGTTACATTTTTGATACATTCATAAGTCAAGAGATATCTGGGGTGCTTCAGCCTTTTGGCTTTTGTGAATACAGGTACAATAATCACAGATGTTCATATATGTGTTCTAGGTCTTTTGTTGCATAGTTTATAGATTCAAAAGGAATTCCTGTATTGATACTAATTCCATTTTAAATTTGAGAAACATTTATAATATTTTAAAATAATGACTGAATCTATGTTTTCTATTAACAATCAACAGAGGTTTCATTTTCATTGCATCAACAGATTCCGCCTTTTTGTTTTTGTTTTGAGACAGTTTTGCTTTTGTCACCTAAGCTGGAGTGCAATGGCACAATCTTGGCTCACTGCAACCTCTACCTCCCAGATTCAAGGGATTCTCTTGCCTCAGCCTCCCTAGTAGCTGAGATTACAGGCTTGTGCCACCACTAATTTTTATATTTTTGTAGAGATGGTGTTTCAGCATGTTGGCCTGGCTTGTCTTGAACTTCTGACCTCAGGTGATCTGCCCACCTCAGCCTCCCAAAATGCTAGGATTACAGGGGGTGAGCCACTGTGCCCGGCTGAATATTTTATCACATGTAATTTGCAAATATTTTTACTTATTTCCTGTGAATCATTTTCACTCAGTTGAATGTGGGTTTTTTTGTTGTTTTTTTGAGATGGAGTCTCACTCTGTTGCCCAGGCTGGAGTGTGATGGTACAGTCTTGACTCACTGCAACCTCCGCCTACTGGGTTCAAAGGATTCTCCTGCCTCAGCCTCCCGAGTAACTGGGACTGCAAGTGTGTACCACCACACCCAACTAATTTTTTTTATTTTTAGCGGAGATGGGGTTTCACTATGTTGGCCAGGCTGGTCTCAAACTCCTGAAACTCCTTATGATCCGCCAACCTTGGCCTCCCAAAGTGCTGGGATTACAGGTGTGAGCCACTGTGCCTGGCCAATTTTTTGATTTTTAATGTGCAGAAATTTTGAAGTCTAGTGTAGTTAAGTTTTTCCATTCTTTTTTTGTTTTTGCTCATGCATTTAATGTTGTGTCTAAGAAAATGGTGCCAAGACCCACATCATGCCTTTTTTCCATTTTGTTGTAAGAGAGTTTATTTTTTTATGTGTAAATATTTTATTCAAAACATTTTTCATATATGGTTCAAGGAAATGATCAACTTGATCAGTATTGACATTTAGTTTTTAACATTATTTTTTGAAAATAATTCTCTATTGTGTGTTCATGGCAACTTTGAAGATCATTTAATCTTACACACAAGGGTTCATTTCTGAACTCTATTCTGCTCTTTTGTCTGTTTATCTGTCTATTGGTATCATACTGTTTTTGTTATTGTAGCTTTTAATGTTTTAATATCAGGAAATATAATGCCTGTTCTTTTTCATGGGTGTTTATAGTTTATAATCAAATTTATAATTTTTAAGGAATATTTCTGTAATAAAACTGTGCTACTGAGATTTTTGTAGAGATTATATTGAATTTATTCACCTCTGTAGGTTATACTGGCATCTTAACAAAATTAAAATTTTTGACCATTGAGCAGGAATATGTTGAAGAATGTGTTTTATTTTTATTTTATTTATTAGAGACAGGGTCTTCCTATGTTGCCCAGGGTGGTTTTGAACTCATGGCCTTAAGCAATCCTCCTGCTTCAGCCTCCCAAAATGCTAGTATTACAGGTGTGAGCCATTGCAGCACTTGGCCTGTGTGTTTTATTTTTAGATATTGTTGGATTTTCCAGTTTTACTGTTGCTTTTAGTTCCTACTTTCATTCAGTTTTGGTCAGATACCATACAGTGTATAATTTTGTCTTTAAGTTATTTGTTGTCTTCGTTTTCAGACAGGATCATACTCTGTCACCCAGGCTAAACTATAGTGGCATAATTTTGGCTCACTGCAACCTCAGCCTCCTTGACTTGAGTGATCTTTCCACGTCAGCCTCCTGAGTAGCTGAGACTACAGACATGCACTACCATGCCTCGCGAATTTTTTGATTATTTGTAGAAATAGGGTTTCACTATGTTAACAACACTGATCTTATACTTGTGGTCCTAAGTGATCCTCTCACTTTTGTCTTTTGAATTGTTGAAATTATAGGTATCAGCCACTACACCTAGCTGGTATTCTTTAATAAGACTTGTTATGTGTTCTAACAGAATACATTGCGTTCAAATAAGAATATTGTGTATTATTTTTCTTTAAACTTTCTGTTAAGCTTAGTTGGTCTGGGGTATGGTTTGAAGGTCCATGTTCTGAACTTCCTGCTGCAATTTAATCCTCAGTGTTGGATGTGGAACCTGGTAGGAGGTGTTTATGCCATGGGGGCAAATTTCTCATAAATGCCTTGGCACCTATTATCCTTTTGATAATAGGAAAGTTTGGACTCCATTAATTCAAATGAGAGCTGGTTCATTAAAATAACTTGGCCTTTTTTTTTTTCTGAGATGGAGTTTTGCTCTGTTGCCCAGGCTGGAGGGCAACGGTGCAATCATGGCTCACTGTAACCTCTCCCTCCCACATTCAAGTGATTCTCTTGCCTCAGCCTCCCAAGTATCTGGGATTACAGGCACCTGCCACCATGCCTAGACATTTTTGTAGTTTTTTAGTAGACATGGGATTTCTTTCTCTTTTTTTATTTCCTGGGTAACTGGGACCAAGAGATAGAATTTCACCACGTTGATCAGGTTGGTCTCAAACTTCTGACCTCAGGTGATCCGCCCACCTTGGCCTCCCAAAGTGCTGGAATTACAGGCTTGGTCCACCATGTCCAGCCTGAACCTGGCTTTTGCACCTCATACTTGCTCTTTCTCTTACCATGTGATATGTTCAGTTATTCTTTGCCTTCCACTGTAAGTTTTCTGAGACTGTCTCTAGAAGTAGAAACTGGCACACACTTTCTATACAGTCTGATGAACTGTGAGCAAAATAAACATTTTTTCTCAATAAGTTATACACTCTCAGGTATTTCTCTATATGCAGAATAGTTAATAAATCTATAATGTCATTGAACTTTTATCTAAATTTTCTATTATTGCAAATGGGGTCTTGATGTCTACAGTTATTTGTTGCGATGTATTTTTTGCTTCACCTTTCCCAAAATTCGCTTTATATATTTTAGAGCCCTGATGTTTTATATGTGTGTATATATATATATTAATAAATATGAGTTATAGATTCCTGGTCAATTGACTCATTTGGCCATTATATAATCAGTCTTTGTCTCATGCTGTTATTTGATTCAAAGCATATTATATTTAATATAATTATTACCTCCTCACCCAATCATAGGTACTATTTTCATGAAATACAGATTCTTTCCATTCTGTTACTTTCAGCTTATTTCACTCAATGCTAAAATGCGTTACTCATAGCATATTGCACGCTTTTTTATGTAAGCCACTCGAGCATCTTAATTTTTTTTTTCCTTTTTATAAACATTTATTTTTGAGCTGGAGTCTCAGTTTGCCAATCAAACTGGTTTGCAGTGGCATGATCATAGCTCACTGTAGCCTTCACCTCCCAAACTCAGATGACTCGTTTCAGCTTCTCAAGTAGCTGGGTTGTAACAATGTACCCTCACACCCAGCTAGTTTACTTTTATTTACATATTTTTTTTTGGAGAGACAGGGTTTTGCTATATTCTCCAGTCTGGTCTCAAACTCCCAAGTTAAAGTGATCAGCCCTCCCATGGCCTCTCAAAGCCCCATGGCCTGAGCCACTGTGGTCAGCCAAAATTTTATATTTTTGTGGAACCATATTGCGTTATTTTATATACATTGTCATCTTTGATTGAAATTTGGACATTAAAGAAAGCTACCTGTCACAATCTTTATAATGTAGCTTTGTCCTGGCATAGTCTGAACAATTGTCTTGGTTAGGGATTTTGAGAGTCTCCTAAACATGTTCTTAGAATGTGTCTTATCTGAAATTTTGTCTTTATTTTTTAGTTGAAGGAATTTATTCGTGTTTCTTACTCATAGTAATCACGTGCTACACCTGTTTTCTGTCTGTGGTACTGCAGTTTCTCTAGTGCTGTAACGTTTCCCTTCGGGTCTCAACAAACTTAAACTGTCATTCCAAAGTATACCACCATTTCTTTCAGCATTATGTTTCATGGGAGACACAAACCAGTGTCAGGAAAGACTCCTGGAAGCAAGTAATAACGAGGAATGTGCCAGTATTTTACTTGTCATTTAAAAAAAGTTGGCACCAGTCATGGTGGCTCATGCCTGTAATCCTAGCACTTTGAGAGGCTGAGGTGGGTGGATCACCTGAGGTCAGGAGTTAGAGACCAGCCTGGTCAACATGGCAAAACCCCATCTCTACTAAAAATACAAAAATTAGCTGGGTGTGGTGATGGGCACCTTCATCCCAGCTACTGAGGAGGCTGAGGCAGGAGAATCACTTGAACCTGGGATGTGGAGGTTGCAGTGAGCCAAGATTGTGCCACTGCACTCCAGCCTGGGCAACAAGAGCGAGACTCCATCACAAAAAAAAAAAAAAAAAAAAGTTGGCAATTGAGTTCTAAAGACACTATGTTATATTGAGGAACAGGAAGAGCTCTGTTGGGTAAATGTAACATATGTTTACTTTTTTTTGTTAAGTAGAGATGGGGTTTCACCATGTTGGCCAGGCAGGTCTTCAACTCCTGACCTCAGGTGATCCGTCAGCCTCAGCCTCCCAAAGTGCTGGGATTACACAGACTTTTACTTTTAAGTGGCTATTTGCATTGTTCTCACCACAGACACTTCACACACTTAACTCATTTATAAATTTTGCTTAGTAATTTTTTGTTTTTTATATGTCTATAAAGGGATTAGGGTCTTTGATATTTTCCTGTGCCATCTTGTTTATGTAGTTTGTATAATATAGGTTAGATATTTATCTGTGTCTAGTAAGTAATTTGTTATTTTTATTTCTTTCAGTTATGTGTTCTAATTTTCCCCAACACCTTTGGCCAGAGCAGGACATAACAGATACTTTTCAAGAAGTGCTACTGAAAAAATATGGGAAATGTGGACATGAGAACTTACAGTTAAGAAAAGGGTGTAAAAGTGTGGATGAATATGAATGGAAGGTGCACAAAGATAACAAACTAAACCAGTGTTTGACAGCTACCCAGAGTAACATATTTCAGTGTGATCCGTATGTGAAAGTCTTACATAAATTTTCAAATTCAAACAGACTTACGATAAGACATACTGGAAAGAAATCTTTCAAATGTAAAAAATGTGAAAAATCATTTTGTATGCTCTTACACCTAACTCAACATAAAATAAATCATATTACAGAGAATTCCTACCAATGTAAAGATTGTGGCAAAGCCTTCAACTGGTTCTCAACCCTTGCTACACACAGGAGAATCCATACTGGAGAGAAACCCTACAAATGTGAAGAATGTGGGAAAGCATTTAACCGGTCCTCACACCTTACTACACATAAGATAATTCATACTGGAGAGAAACCCTACAAATGTGAAGAATGTGGCAAAGCTTTTAGCCGGTCATCACACCTTACTACACACAGGATAATTCATACTGGGGAGAAACCCTACAAATGTAAAGAATGTGGCAAAGCTTTTAGCCGGTCATCACACCTTACTACACACAGGATAATTCATACTGGAGAGAAACCCTACAAATGTGAAGAATGTGGCAAAGCTTTTAACCAATCCTCAACCCTAACTACACATAAGATAACTCATGCTGGAGAGAAACCCTACAAATGTGAAGAATGTGGAAAAGCTTTTTACCGATTCTCATACCTTACTAAACATAAGATAAGTCATACTGGAGAGAAATTCTACAAATGTGAAGAATGTGGCAAAGGCTTTAACTGGTCCTCAGCCCTTACTAAACATAAGAGAATTCATACTGGAGAGAAACCCTACAAATGTGAATATTGTGGCAAAGCCTTTAATGAGTCCTCAAACCTTACTACACATAAGATGATTCATACTGGAGAGAAACCCTACAAATGTGAAGAATGTGGCAAAGCCTTTAACCGGTCCTCACAACTAACTGCACATAAGATAATTCATACTGGAGAGAAACCCTACAAATGTGAAGAATGTGGCAAAGCTTTTAATCGATCTTCAAACCTTACTAAACATAAAATAACCCATACTGGAGAGAAATCTTACAAATGGGAAGAATTTGGTAAAGCCTTTACCAGTCCCTAAGCATTACTAAACAAAATAATTCATACTGGAGAGAAACCCTACAAATGTGAAGAATGTGGAAAAGCCTTTAACCAGTTCTTAACTCTTATTAAACATAAAAAAATTCATACTGGAGAGAACCCCTGTGAGTGTGAAGAATGTGGCAAAGCCTTTAATAAGTTCTCAATTCTTAACAATCATAAGATAATTCATACTGGAGAGAAACTCTACAAACCAGAATTATGTGGCAATGCTTTTGAAAACATTTCAGCTTTTCTAAACATAAATTATAGTGGTGAGAAATCCTAGAAATATGAAGAATGTGACAGAGCTTTTAAATGGTTTTCACACTTGATTGGAGGTAAGAATAATTTATGCTGAAGAAAACTTCTCCATGTGTAAACAGTGTGGGAAAACTTTCAGCCAGTGCTCATACCTTACTGCACAGGAAAGCATTTATACTGGAGAAAAATTGTACAAATATAACGACTGTGAAAAAGCCATTAATATATGCTCACATCTTACTCAACATTAGAGTTCATACTTAATAAAAACATTTTAAGTGCAATTACTGTCAAAATATCTTTAAGAAAATGTAAGCCTTTAAAGTAAAGAATATTTTGAAGAAGAACATTGTTGTTGGGTTGTAGTATGTTTACTTGTATCACAGATCTTATTGTACCCATTTTGTACTAGAGGAAACCTCTGAAGCAGTTGCTCAAACTTTGTCCAGTATCAGGGAATTTATATTGGGAAAAAAACCCTGCAAATTTAATAAATTTGGAAAGATACTTTTTCAAAAACTACAGCTTAGACAACACCAGAGAGTTTACACTAAAACATATTTTTGCAGATGCAGCAAAAATTTTTTGAAAAGTGAATAATGATGTAATTCAACTCTCAAACTATTTCCTGTTTCTTCATTTCTATTTACATGTGAAAGCATGTGATCATTTGTTGCTGCATCAAAGATACGAGAGATTCTTTTTTATTAGGTGAGCATTATTTATAAACTTAGTTATGGAATAGTAAGGACATTAAAACGTAAGATGCATGATGAAAACCTAAGTGAAGAGACTTTGTGGTTAACTTATGATATTAAGTAATTAATGTTAATATTAAGTAATATAACATAACTTATTAAGTAATATATGCATTAGGTGTTCAGAGTAATCTGCATTATCATGAGAAAAAAATTTTTGATTTATAAGTAAATGAAAATTAGTATAGTGTACTAATACTTTTATATAAAATGTGGTATATTTTTGAAATTTTAGATTTTATGTGACATTAATATATTCAGCATTTTTAACATGTTAAATACTATTGTGCATTCAATGAAGTGTTATATGCCACAAACGTTACCCTATTCCACCTTATTCAAGAATGTACGTAAAATATGGTAACGATATGTACTATTTGGTAACATAATGGTTTAACATCTCTAGTAATCTCTTTTCCAAAGGCTTTGACTAAAAATAAGTTAAAGAATTTATTTCTGGCCGGGCGTGGTGGCTCAAGCCTGTGGTCCCAGCACTTTGGGAGGCCGAGGCGGGTGGATCACGAGGTCAACAGATCGAGACCATCCTGGTCAACATGGTGAAACCCCATCTCTACTAAAAATACAAAAAATTAGCTGGGCATGGTGGCGCATGCCTGTAATCCCAGCTACTCAGGAGGCTGAGGCAGGAGAATTGCCTGAACCCAGGGGGCGGAGATTGCGGTGAGCCGAGATTGTGCCATTGCACTCCAGCCTGGGTAACGAGGGAAACTCTGCCTCAAAAAAAAAAGAATTTATTTCTGTAGGTTAATTTTTAATTTTTATTTATTTATTTATTTATTTACTATGTCACCAAGACTGGAGTGCAGTGGTATGATCTCAGCTCACTGCAACCTCTCCTCCTGGTTTCCAGTGATTCTCCTGCCTCATCCTCCCGAGTAGCTGGGACTGCAGGCGTGCGCCAACATGCCTGGCTCATTTTTGTGTTTTTCGTAGAAGCGGGGTTTCACCATGTTGGTCAGGCTGGTCTCAGATTTCTGACCTTGTGATCTGCCCACCTTGGCCTTCCAAAGTGCTGGGATCACAGGTGTGAAATACAGTGTCCAGTTATTTTATTTTTTATTTTTAGAGGGAGTCTTGCTCTGTTGCCCAGGTTGGAATGCAGTGGCACAATCTTGGCTCACTACAATCTCTGTCTCCTAGGTTCAAGAGATTCTCCTGCCTGAGTCTCCCAAGTAACTAGGATTACAGGTGCCCGCCCCCACACCTGGCTAATTTTTGTATTGTAGTAAAGACAGAGTTCAACTATGTAGGTAGGGTGAGCTGATCTCAAACTCCTGAACTCAAATGATCTGCCTGCCTCAGCTTCCCAAAGTGCTGGAATTACAGGAGTGAGCCACTGTACCTGGCCAAATTTTTATTTTTTAATTTTTTTTTAATTTTTTATTGGATTTTAGGTTTTGGGGTACATGAGCAGAGCGTGCAAGACAGTTGCGTAGGTACGCACATGGCAGTGTGCTTTGCTTTGCTTCTCCCCTTCACCCACATTTGGCATTTCTCCCCAGGCTATCCCTCCCCACCTCCCCCTCCCACTGGCCCTCCCCTTTTCCCCCCAATAGACCCCAGTGTTTAGTACTCCCCTTTCTGTGTCCATGTGTTCTCATTTTTCATCACCCGCCTATGAGTGAGAATATGTGGTGGTTCATTTTCTGTTCTTGTGTCAGTTTGTATTTTTTAATTTAAATTTATTTTTCTTAATTATTTGGGTTGCATGAGTATATGTTCATGCAATATATGGCATATTTTAATACAAGAATACAGTATATAAGAATCACATCAGGGTAAATAAGGTATCCATCACCTCTAGCGTTTATCCTTTGTATTACAAACAATCCAATTTTGTACTTTTAGTTATTTTAAAATGTACAATTAAATTGTTATTGATTACAGGGTTATTTTTGTGGTCATAATAAAACTTATGTAGAAGTAGGCCAGGCATGGTGGCTCAAGCCTGTAATCCCAGCACTTTGGGAGGTCAAGGTGGGTGGATCACAAGGTCAAGAGATCGAGACCATCCTGGTCAACACGGTGAAACCCTGTCTCTACTAAAAATACAAAAATTAGCTGGGCATGGTGGTGCGTGCCTGTAATCCCAGCTACTCAGGATGCTGAGGTAGGAGAATTGCCTGAACCCAGGAGGTGGAGGTTGCAGTGAGCCGAGATTGTGCCATTGCACTCCAGCCTGGGTAACAAGAGCGAAACTCCATCTCAAAAAAAAAAAAAGTTATGTAGAAGCATAAATAAAATCCATACATTTCTGAGTCCTGAATAAATATTTGTAAAGTTTTCTGATACTTATTTTTGAGCATGTTTTCTGTCTGCCTGCAACACATGCAAACTTTTAGTTTTGATTTACATAGAGTTAAATATACGTTAGTCTTTTGTGAGTATGAATTTGTACCTATTTTCAGAAGAAAAGAGCATACTGAACAAATCATTTTAACAAGATGACTACTAGAAAACGCAAAACCTCAAAATGCTGAAAGCAGATGTATTCTCTGGTTTGTACTGAATTCATTACTGTACAATCTATGGCTTATAGTTCTGAATCTCCCCATGCAAATTATCTGTTTACACTTGTCTGGTACTCATGATAGACCCCTAATTATTTTGTATCTTTTATTCATTCATTCATTCATTTATTTAATTTTTGAGATGGAGTCTGGCACTGTGGCCCAGGGCTGTAGTGCAGTGGCGGAATCTTGGCTCACTGCAATCTCCGCCTCCTGGGTTCAAGCAATTCTCCTGTCTCAGCTTCCTGAATAGCTGGGACTTCAGCCATGCACTACCATGTCCAGCTAATTTTTTTGTATTTTTAGTAGAGACATGGTTTCACCATGTTGGCCAGGATGGTCTCGATCTCCTGACCTCATCATCTATTCACCTTGGCCTCCCAAAGTTCTGGTATTACAGGTTTGAGCCACCGTTGCCTACTAAAAATAATTTTTATAAAATGTAGTGCATACAAAAGAATTTTTAAATTGATTCCACAATTAGCGAATTAAGTTACATAGCAAACATACATGATAGTTCTTGCTGTGTAACAGATGCTCCATAAGCCATAAATATTCCTGCCAAAGTTAATTTTATTTAATTAGAACACTTAATTTTGAAAGCCCTATATTTATAGCCCTTTAGTTATTTTTCTTTTTGCTTTTTGTAATTGACATAAGTACATTTATTTATTATTTATTTTTATTTTTCTCAACCTCTGTCCCTCCAGTACATTTATTGAGTTAATTTGCTCAGATAAGTACTAGGGAAGATTTACAAGTAATGAGGATGTTCGTTTGTTTGTTTGTTTATGAGACAGCATCTCCCACTGTCGACTGGGCTGGAGTGCAGAGGTGGGATCTAGCTTACTTCAACCTCCGCCTCCCAGGTCCAAGCGATTCTCCTGCTTCTTGCTCCCAAATAGCTGGGATTACAGGGGCCTGCCACCACGCCCAGCTAATTTTTTGTATTAGGATTTTTTTCCTTTTTGAGACGGAGTGTCACTGTTGTTGCCCAGGCTGGAGTGCAATGGCGGATCTCAGCTCACTGCAACCTCCGTCTCCCAGATTCAGGCAATTTTCTTGCCTCGGCCTTCCGAGCAGCTGGGATTACAGGCATGCGCCACTACACCTGGCTAATTTTGTACTTTTGGTGGAGACGGGGGTCTTTCTATGTTGGTCAGGCTGGCCTCAAACTCCCGACCCTCAGGTGATCCGCCCGCCTTGGCCTCCAAAAGTGCTGGGATTGCAGGCGTGAGCCACGGCACCCGGCTGGATGTTTTTATATTTAAATGTAGCAGACATACATGACAGTTCTTGCTGTGTAACAGATGCTCCATAATAAGCCATAAATATTCCTGCCAATGTTAATTTGTGGACTGAGTGCGGTGGCTCAGGCCTGTGGTCCCAGCACTTCGAGAGGACAAGGTTGATGGATCACGAGGTCAGGAGTTCAAAACCAGCTTAACCATGGTGAAACATCATCTGTAATAAAGGTGCAAAAATTAGTACTCCCTGAACCTGGGAGTTGGAGTAAAAATAAAGTTAGTTTGTAGCTTCAAGTCAGAGATGGAAAACATCAGTGGTGAAGAAATGAAATTGATTCTTCATGTGGAGAGGACATATTTTCCTGGCTTCAATGCTGAATTTAAAGAGAAGTTCTGCATTTTTTATTTCTCAATTATCTTCAGATTTGTCTGTATTTATTTATTATATGTATCCCAGTTATGTATGCATCACAGCCCTTCTTTTTCTGTTATAGCTTCACTTTTCTCACTGTTAATGCCATTTCATTTCACATGATACTTTGTAAATTTTGATGAGAAAGTTGGTAGTTGTGTGTGTGTGTCTTGCTCTGTTGCCCAGGCTGGAGTGCAGTGGCACAATGTTGGCTCTCTGTCTTATAGGTTCAAGCAATTCTGCCTCAGCCTTTCAAGTAGCTGGGATTACAGGCACCTGCCACCACATCTGGCTGGTATTTTCTTTTGTGTTTTTAGTAGAGATGGCGTTTCACCATCTTGGCCTTCCTGGTTTTGAAATCCTGGCCTCATGTGATCCACCTGCCTCAGCCTCCCAAAGTGCTGGGATTACAGGTGTGAGCCATCGTGCCTGGCCAAAAATTGGTATTTTTTAAAGGACTGAAGAGTTGGTTTTAACTGGAGAGTTTGCTTATCAATATAATTTTCAAATCAGTTAATTAAGATAAAAAGCATACACTGTCCACAGGTGAGAGGATTAAAGCAGTTAGCATGACTTTGTAAAAACAAAACTTATTGGCCAAGCATGGTGGCTTATGCCTGTAATCTCAACACTTTGGGAGGCCAAGGAGGCAGATCACCTAAGGTCAGCAGTTTGATACCAGCCTGGCCAACATGCTGAGACCCCGTCTCTACTAAAACAAAATTAGCCAGGTGTGGTGGTATATGCCTGTAATCCCAGCTACTTGGGAGGCTGAGGCAGGAGAATTGCTTAAACCTAGGAGGCAGTGGTTGCAGTGAGGCAAGATGGTGCCACTGCACTCCAGCCAGTGTGACAGAGCGAGAGTCTGTCTCAGAAAAAAAAACAAAACAAAAAGAACAATTTACTAGATTACACAAAGTGTGGTAAATATAAAATTTGCTAGAAAATATACAAATGACTTAAAAATTTTTTGTTTTGAGAGACAGAGTTTCACTCTTATTGCCCAGGCTAGAGTGCAATGACATGATCTCCACTCACCATAACTTAGGCCAGGACAACCTCTGCTTCCTGGGTTCAAGTGACTTTCCAGTCTCAGCCTCCCAAGTAGCTGGGATTAAAGGCATGAGCCACCACACCCAGCTAATTTTGTATTTTTAGTAGAGATATGGTTTCTCCATGTTGGTCAGGCTGGTCTCCAACTCCCAACCTCAGATGATCCACCCCTTTGGCCTCTCTCAAGTGCTGGGATTATAGGCCTGAACCACAGTGCCCAGCCCCAGAAATTCAATTTTTAAGAGTTAATGTTAAGTAAACAATTTTTTTTTTGAGATGGAGTTTCGCTGTTGCTGCCTAGGCTGGAGTGCAATGGCTCGATCTCAGCTCACTGAAACCTCTACCTCACAGGTTCAAGCGATTCTCCTGCCTCAGCTTCCCGAGTGGCTGGGATTACAGGCACCCACCACCACTCCTGGCTAATTTCTGTATTTTTTGTAGAGACGGGGTTTCCCATGTTGGTCAGTCTGGTGTCAAACTCCCGACCTCAGGTGATCTGCCCACCTTGGCCTCCCAAAGTGCTGGGATTACAAATGTAATCCACCGTGCCCAGCCAGTGAACAGTTTTAAATTTACTTTTCTATGATATAGTGCAACTTAAGTTTCCATGGAGAATCTTCTATTTTTAAGTGTGAATGTTAAATGTTGCAAAATAATAAAATGAGCTCTGTGAATTTGAAATTTGCAAGATTATTACTTTTTTTTTTTGAGACAGAGTCTCACTCTTTCACCAGGCTAGAGGGCAGTGGAACGATCTCTGCTCACTGCAACCTCCGCCTCCTGGGTTCAAGCAATTCTTCTGCCTCAGCCTCCCGAGTAGCTCGGACTACAGGTGTGCACTACCATGCCCAGCTAATTCTTATATTTTTAGTAGAGACAGGGTTTCACTATATTGGCCAGGATGGTCTTGGTCTCTTGACCTTGTAATCTGCCCACCTCAGCCTCCTAAAGTGCTGGGATTACAGGCGTGAACCACTGCACCCGGCCCCAACCCTCCATTTTTTCTAAATACCTTGGACTCTAGTGTTCACCATTTTACTCTACATCCATGAGATTGAGTTGTTTTGGAATCCTTTTCTAAGTGAAATCATAAACTATTAATCTTTCTGTGCCTGGCTTATCTCAACATAACGCTCCCCAGCTTAATCCATGTGATTAAAAATAGAATTTTTTTAGGCCAAGTGTGGTGGCTCACACCATAATTTTAGCATTATGCAAGGCCAAGGCAGGTATATTGCTTGAGCCCAGGGGTTTGAGACCAGCCTGGGCAACATGGAGAAATCCTATTTCTACTAAAAATACAACAGAAAATTAGCTGGGCATCGTGGTGCACAGCTGTAATCCCAGCTACTCTGAATTCTGGGGCATGAGAATCCCTTGAACCAGGGATATGGAAGTTGCAGTGAGCTTGACTACAACACATTCTGGGTGATAGAGTGAGATTCGGTATGAAAAAAATAATTTTTTTAAGTAATAGTATTTCATTGTCTTTATATCTACCACATTGTCTTTATTTACTCATTAGATGTTGAACTATTGATTCTATATTTTGGTTATTGTGAGGAGTGCTGCAAATAACAGAAGTGTAAATGTTTCTTCTGATTTCATTTGTTTTGGATATATACAAAATAGTGCAACAGCTGTATTACCCGGTAGTTTGATTTTAAGTTTTATTGAGAAATCTCTGTTTTTTTCTTTCTTTAATTTTTTTTTATTGCATGTTTTGTTTTTCACAATGGCCATCTTCATTTACATTCAAACCAACAGTGTGCACGCATTCCCTTCTCATCTTTACCAACATTTTCTTCTTTTTCTTTTTTTTTTTTTTTTTTTTGAGAGGAAAGCGCCTTTTTAATTCCCCTGCTTTATAAGCACAAATTCCTATCTATCAGCATGTGGATTCCAGCCACGGCCAACCAGAATTGCCTGTCAAAGACCAGAAACTCAGAAGACTAGAAGAATATCCTGTTGCAGAAATATCTCTTCCACTTCTGCTTGTCCCCCAGCCATTCAGCACCAGATACACTTTGGTAATTCTGTCTGCTGATTTCTGATCAGATGCATTTATCAGCTCCTAATGTCTCTCCTTCCTCTTTGACTGCCTCTTCCATGATTGACAGAATAAGCTAAGCACGGACATACAGACATGGAAATGCATTATTATTATTTTTTTTTACCACAGTTTAAAGAAAAAAGAAAAGAAAAAAATGCACAATCTTTGAAACAAAAGAATTAAAGGCAGAAATTTAAAGGAAAAATACATATTCAAAGAACATAGTGAGGTATAAAAAGTATTCTTTCTTTTTTTGTGTGTTTTTTTGTTTGTTTGTTTTTCCTCTTCATCTTGCTATAGAGTTCTTCTACTAGTAAATATTGCAATAGCCAGGCCTCATGAACTGGGGGGTTGTCCCATTTGCAGGGGTCTCACGTCACTTCAGTAGGGGGCAAATCGGCTGTAGCCACCTCGGTATAAACTCGCCACAGCGCCAACTCCATAGCTAGCGGCAGGGGCAAGGGCATGGTAGGGGTCGGCTGTGTACACCCTGCCATAACCGTCGCTGTAAGCTGCGGCAGCGGCTGCAGCAGCGGTGGCTGCGGTTGCAGTAGCAGGCTGTGCATATCTGTAGGCTGCATATCCACCATAGAGGTCAGCACCGTAAAATCCGTCCTGATAAACCACACCTGGATAGGCGGGGATGGCTGTTGGAGGCACCGCTCGGACTGCACCATATACTGTCCGCCCTCTGACCCTCAAATGGGCTCCTCTGAAAGCGGCTGCCGTGGTGGCTGCAGTAGGGTAAGGGAAGCCAGGAATGATTAAAGGAATGTAAGTGTTGATACCCCCTCTTCCTGACAGGGGCACTGCTGCATCATTGCCTAGAGATACATCTGCTTGAAAGCTGGATGCTGCATATAACTCTGGACCATATACAGCTCCAACTACTGGGCTTAATTTCCAACCATTTGCATATGGCGTGACCATCTTCTTATTGGTCATTACACGTGCTGTAGCATTATTTACCTCGATTTTACGGCCCTCTACCACGGTGCCGTGTAATTTCTCCCTGGCCCTGTCTGCATCAGCACTATTCTCGAAAGTTACGAACCCGAATCCCTTAGAGCCTCGTTCATTAAAGATTATTTCTACATCTAGGATTTTGCCAAACTGCCCAAACATCTGCCGGAGGTCAGGGTCCCGGAAGCGGAAAGGAATATTAGAGACATGCAGCCGTTTCGGGGTAGATTTACTCTCTGAATTTTCACTACTTTGTGTCTGTGACTGCTGGCCATCCGTCTGTGCTCCACCTTCTGTCGTAAGAGATCCATTTTGTGTGCTGGGTGAGTTGCTGCTCTGCTCCCCATGGGCTTGCGTACTTCCATAGAGTGTCAGGTCATGCTCACCGGTCTGGCCGGCATAGTCTTGAGTGTGTGGCACCCCATATTCTGTGGGAATTCCATTCTGCGGAGGTGGTGGAAATGGGATGGTAGTAAAAGGCTGAACCATCGCGTCAGGAGTTGTTGTTGGCTCCTGGTTACCCTGAGTTACCATTTTCTTTTTCTCCATAAACCAAACGAATAGATGATAAACGCTTCAAAGCAGCCGGGCAGGGGCACACCTCCACAGCTTTCTTTTCCACCCCCTTCCCCCGCAATCTAGCTATTTGAGGGTGGGTAATTGATCTCCCTTTATACCGTTTTCCTTCCTTTTTCTTTCTAATGTTTCTTCCTTTCTTTTCTCTTCCTCTCTGCCAGTCTCTCCCCCTCCTTCTTTCTCCAGCTCCCTCCCATATCTCAGGCAGATCTCTTTTTCTTTTTAATAAGAGTCATTCTAACAAGAGTGAGTTGATGTCTCATAGTATTTTTGGCTTGGCTCTCCCTGATCATAATTGACAGTGGGCATATTTAAATATATCTATTGGCCATATGTATATCTTTTCTTGAAAAATATTTAAGCCTTTTGCTCATGTTAATAGTTATTTGTTTTTGTTGTAGTCAATAGAGTCTCATATATTATGAAACATTTTTGATATTAACTCCTTGTTACATGTTTAATTTGCAAATATTTTCTCTCTCATTTTTTAATTGTCTCATTCTGTTGATTGTATCAGATTCTGTGCAGCAGCTTTTTAATCTGAAGTAATCTGACTCATCTATTTTTCCTTTTATTTCATAAGATTTTGAGGTTTAAAAAAAAAAACTGGCCGGTGACTGGTGGTTCACATCTGTAATCACAGCACTAAGGCAGATGGATCACCTGAGGCCAGAGTTCAAAACCAGCCTGGCCAACATGGTGAAACCCCATCTCTGCTAAAAATATGAAAATTAGCTGGGTATGGTGGTGCAGCCTCTAATCCCAGCTACTCGGGAGGCTGAGATGAGAGAATCATTTGAGGCCTGGGTGGGGGGTGGGCACAAGTTGCAGTGAGCTGAGATCACACCATTGCACTCTAGCCTGGCTGGTTGATAGGGTAACACTGTCTCAAAAAAATTACAACTTGTCTAAACTAATAAATATAGTCAATAAATTAGCAATTATAAAATTAACATGCAAGTATAAGTTATGATTCCATACACTTAAACTATCTGATGCAATAGAAAAAAATACAATAGCATTAAAATAACGAATTTCTAAAGACAAATTTTACCAAGGAGGTATAAAGTTATGCAATTAAACATATAAAATAACAAAGAAGTTAGAGAAACACAAATAAATTTAAAAATATATCTATTAATCAAAAGAATAACTATTGTTAAAGTGCCATATTATCTAGAGTAATCTATAGATTTAATAAACTTCCCATCAGAATTCCAGCGGCATTTTTTCACAGTAATGGAAAATACAATTTTAAAATGTACAGGAAACCACAATAAACTTTGAATAGGCAAAGCAATATTGAGGAAAAAGAATAAAGCAGAGGAACATACTTTGTAATTTCAGACTGTATTTCAAGACCATAGTAATAAAAACAGGATGGAATATACAGAAAAATTAACCAAAAACCAATGAAACAGAAACCACTACTCTCACATATTTCAGACACGATGCAGAGATAACTAAAAAAAAATAAAGTTTCTCAAAATTATGCAGATATTTGTGTGTCCCCAAAACCATGGAAAAGCAATCAGATTGTGCAGTCTCATATATGCCATAAAGAGGACTTCGGCTCTCACTGTAAACTTGAAGGAAGATCATCCAAGGAAAAGTAGAATCCTTAGAGAATTCAAAAGCATAAGACAAACATGCCCCTATGTGAGAGAAAAATTTAAAAAAAAAAAGAAAAAAGAAAAGAAACCTCAAGCTTCCCAGAAACTATTTGCTTTGGAACACAGCTTTTCAAATTACATTTTAAAGACTGGCTTTCTTTTTGACCTTTGGACCACTCATTGGTGAAATCTGTTTTATTACTTTGATCTACCTGAGGGTTTGGCTACCATCTCATGCCTCTTCATATTCCAGGGCTCTTTACCTTGCTCCAAACAGGTGATCAGGTCTCGGTTAGTGAGAACAACACCTGCTTTATTAAAAATAACATAAATCATTCTCATGTTCTCCAGTTAGTAACCTACTACTGTGCTCATTCAAAAGAATGTGGTAGAATACCCTAGGAAGGGCCAGGCATGGTGGCTCATGCCCACAATCTCAGCACCTGGGAGACAGAGATGGGTGGATCACTTGAGGTCAGGAGTTGAGGCCAGCCCGACCAACATGGTGAAACCCTATCTCTACTAAAAATACAAAAATTAGCCAGGCATGGTGGCACACACCTATAGTCCCAGTTACTTGGGAGGCTGAGGCAGGAGAATTGCATGAACCAGGGAGGCAGAGATTGCAGTGAGCCAAGATTGTGCCACTGCACCCCAGCCTAGGTGACAGAGTAAGACTCCATCTCAAAAAAGAATATCCTAGAAAGGTAATCCCAAAATACAAATTGATGAAAGAAATTTCTAAATATTTAGAAAATATTTTAAATTTGTAGGTCCTTAATTTTACTACCCAGTACTCATGAATCAAAGATTGGTGGTGGCAAATAGATTTTCTGATATGGGCAACATATTTTATGCCTGTAAATTTCTGGAATTGCCACTAATCTAGAGTGAAGGATACAGACCAGCTCAGAAATGTGGAAAGTTCAGATCGAGATGAAACATCTTGAAGAAATTCTTTTCTGCACAGACATATTCTCAAGATTTTCTTGAAAAGATGAATTAGAAATTCATTTATGCAAATAAATTACCAAAAATCGTTATACATAAAAAGAGAAATGAAAGTTTTAGGGTGTATTTGAAATTGTGTTATTAAAGTTATTCTCACCCAAGAAGGCCAGGTTTCTGTAGTTCTCTAACTTCACTTTTCTATACAAATCCTGCTGAGCAGTGTCCAGGCATTGCCACTCCTCCAGAGAGAATTCTATGGCCACACCCCTAAATGTCAATAGCCTCTGAAACACACACACACACGAGAGAAAGAGAGACATACATATATTTACCAAGTTGCCATGGGCAAAATTTATCATTTAAATTAAGGTGAAATAAGAGTAAAAAGAATTGGTGCTGACTTATAGGAATGACTGAAATTAACCAATAATTTTCAACACAGACATATTCTCTAATGTATTCTCTGACTCAGAGAGAAGAGAATAGCATAAGATCCACAACAGGCCAGGCACAGTGGTGCACACCTGTAATCCCAGCACTTTGGGAGGCCGAGATGGGTAGATTACCTGAGGTCAGGAGTTCAAGACCAGCCTGACCAATATGGAGAAACCTCATCTCTACTAAAAATACAAAATTAGCCAGGCATGGTGGCACATGCCTGTAATCCCAGCTACTTGGAAGGCTGAGGCAGTAGAATCGCTTAAAGCCCAGAGTTGAAGGTTGCAGTGAGCCAAGATCATGCCACTGCACTGTAAACTGGGTAACAGAGCGAGACTCCATCTCAAATAAATAAATAAATAAATAAACAAACTTTCACAACACCAGTGTATGTAAGATATTTTCTGGATAACAAAGTATAAAACTAAGGGCATAAACACAAACATAAATTTTTAAGTGCTATATTTACAACATAAAGAATAAGATATGTTTTTAAGACAAAAAGACATGTTGAATTAGAAGGTACCTCTCAAATTAAAATGTGTACAATAAACTGAAGATGTTGTTGTGCAGGTTTTTATTTTTCAGAAGATCTGCAATAAAGTCTGAGTGTTTGGATTTCTAACAAGGTCACCAGTAACATCAATGTTTTTGGCCCAAAAAGACTATTTTATCAAACATGTAGTAAGTGGAAGAGTTTGTATTTTACCCAGTTTTTTGGCCTGTAAACAACGATAAGGGCCTCCACCCCGCCCCGCCCCCCGCCTTTTTGTGTGTGTGTGTGTGACAAAGTCTTGCTCAGCCACCCAGGCTGGAGTGCAGTGGCACAATCTTGGCTCACTGCAACCATCATCTCCTGGGTTCAAGTGATTCCCTTCTAAGTAGCTGGGATTACAGGCACCTGCCATCATGCCTGGCTAATTTTTGCATTTTGGTAAAGATGGGGTTTCACCATGTTGGCCAGGCTGGTCTTGAACTCTTGACCTTAGGTCATATGCCTGCCTCAGCCTCCCAAAGTGCTGGGATTACATGTGTGAGCCACTGTGCCCAGCCGAGCCTTCCTTTTCCAAAGACAGATATAAGCAAACTAAACCAAAGAAGAAGGGCTACTGCCAGATTCAACATCATGATTTATGCACATCAGCTGCATAAATATACTGTATAATAAAGAGAAAAATAATTCCACAGTAAAAACAAAAAGTCAGAGCTCTTTATCCAAGTAAATCATTAACATCAACTGCACTAGAACAAATTTTTATGATGTGCTGATGCACACAGAAGAACATACCATCACTGCCAAAATATCGCCCCTCAAAAAGTAAATTATAGTCTGAATTTAACCATACAGGAACAACAACCTAATTCGAAGTTCAAGATACAGACAACCCCTATGTTCTGTAATTTTTAATAATGATTTTTTTTTCCTAGTAGAACAGGTAGGAAATACTGCTAAAAATTCTTTTCTTTTTTTTTTTTTTTTGAGATCGAGTTTTACTCTTGTTGCCCAGGCTGGAATGCAATGGCACAATCTCGGCTCACCACATTTACCTCCCAGGTGCAAGTGATTCTCCTGACTCAGCCCCCTAAGTAGCTGGGATTACAGGCAGTGCCACCATGCCCAGCTAATTTTGTATTTTTAGTAGAGATGGGGTTTCTCCATCTTGGTCAGGCTGGTCTTGAACTCCCAACCTCAGGTGATCTGACTACCTCGGCCTCCCAAAGTGCTGGATTACAGGTGTGAGCCACTGCACCTGGCCCAATAATGATTTTAAGTAATCTTTCTTTATCACTCTAGAGAGCAGGTATCTCTTAATTTATTTCAGAACTTTCAGGGTAATAAGTGCCATTCTGTTTAAATAAGCATTTTCTTAATCCTGTTCTGCATAGAGATAATAGAGAACATAGATTGAACCTCAACATTAAAATATCTTTCAGTAAAGACGTTCTTTATCTTTACTAAAAATCCCAGCTTTCCCCCACTAGAAATCTTGAGTATGGACATATTCAGCAGCTACCAAGGGAACATTTTAAATATTGCAGATAATAAATTCATGGTAGGTATTCTGTATGAAATATAAGAAACCATGTTGTAGAGAATGTAGAGAAGACTCTGGGATATAGAAAAGGAATATTTTGCAGAGATCCTTGGCAAGCACAAAAATTTTAAAAAATAGTTAAAACAAACTCATCAGGGGTCAGCATAGACATGGTTCAGGGCTGAGTCTCACAACATTGCCCTTATTGCAGATCCCAGTCACAAACTCGATAGGCCCATCTATGCTTCTGAGGTGCTGTTTAAGAACTGGGGACTCCCACAACCTTTCTCGAGTTCAATAATTTGATGGAGCTACTCATAGAGCTCAGCAAAACACTGTAGTTGTGTTTACCAGTTTATTATAAAAGATACAACCCAGGAAAAGTCAAACAGAAGAAATGTATAGAAGAAAAAAAAAAAGAGGTATGGCCGGGCGCAGTGGCTCAAGCCTGTAATCCCAGCACTTTGGGAGGCCAAGGCGGGTGGAACACGAGGTCAAGAGATCAAGACCATCCTGGTCAACATGGTGAAACCCCGTCTCTACTAAAAATACAAAACATTAGCTGGGCATGGTGGCGCGTGCCTGTAATCCCAGCTACTCAGGAGGCTGAGGCAGGAGAATTGCCTGAACCCAGGGGGCAGAGGTTGCAATGAGCCGAGATTGCGCCATTGCACTCCAGCCTGGGCAACAAGAGCGAAACTCCATCTCAAAAAAGAAAAAAGAGGTAGGGAAAGATGAAGCATATAGATAATCCTGGTAAATAGCTGTGATTAATACAATTCTTCATCCTTTGTCTTCTCCAGAAACAAGTTTATGGAAAGAAACACCCTTCCATTGTAACTTAGATGGTGCTCTCTTTTCTTATTTATCACATAGCCAGAAACAGACTGTCAGACATGTATTGAACTAGAGCAACTCCAGTTTGAATAGGGGCTGAGTAAAATAAGGCTGAGACTCCTAGGCTGCATTCCCAGATGGTCAGGCATTCTAAGTCACAGGATGAGACAGGAGGTCAGCACAAGATACAAGACATAAAGACCTGGCTGATAACACAGCTTGCAGTAAAGAAGCGGGATAAAACCCACCAACACCAGCATGGTGATGAGAGTGTCCTCTGGTCATCCTCACTGCTACATGCCCACCGGTGCCAGGACAGTTTACAAATGCCATGGCAACAACAGGAAGTTACACCATAATGGTCTAAAAAAGAGAGTCATAAGTAATTTACCTCTTGTTTAGCATATAATTAAAACTAGCCATAAAAATGGGCAACCAGACTGTGGAGGAAGCCATTCTTTTATTTCTTTACTTTCTTAATGAATTTGCTTTCACTTTATTCTATAGACTCACCCTGAGTTCTTTCTTGAGTGAAATCCAAGAACTCCATCTTGGTATTTGGATTGGGACTTCTTTCTAGTAACATTTTCCTGGCAACCACAAAGGGACTATACTGAAGAGACCTCTGACCCAAAGGGAAATTACTTGTGCTGACTTTGGGTGAGTGGGATGCATATACTTCGGTAAAGCAGGAGATTGGATTAGAAGCCCAATTTAGGGGAGTTACAGTCTCTCCTAAAATAGAGTGGATTAAAGGTTCCTTTTAATAAAAGGCAAGGATGCTTGATTGAACTTGGATTCGATGTCCAACTTAGGAAGGTTATGGTACTTCTTAAGATTTAGAAGCTTAGACACCCCTCTCAGTAAAGTGCCTCTCAGCTAAGAACTGGTTTGGAACTATGGGATGTTAATTGCTATTCTCTTTAGATAACTGTCTTATGCTCTTTGTTGCTAGTTATGGGTGACAGAATTAGGCCTCTACAAGACTATGAAACATGGGGAGTTTTTTCCTCTTTAAAAGGGAAAACTTGAGAGCTGATAGAACTCCTGAAAAATATACTTTTGCTATTGACAAGCGGCCACCTGAACTTTTCATTGTCCCTTCAATTGGTGGGTCTTTCTCTGGCCTCCCTGAGCTCTTTGCTTTCCCAGTCCTCCCACAGTCAATGCTTTTTCCTCTCCTTTTCCTTTATTATCTTTCCCATTACTCAGGATGACCATCTTGCCCAGAGACCGTAAGTTGAAACTCCTGATCAGAGGTTGAATTAAAGACGAGAGGGCCCAGCTGGAGGCACGTTTGAGGCTTACCAGTTTGATATTGATTGCTAAGTAGAGAGGCTAATGTCTATATTTTGTCACACATATTTTGCTCTGGCAAAAATGAAATAAGATAATTTTCCTTTGTGTTGTGGCTTGGCCCACAGGGCTGTGGTGCAGCCAACCATGTCACTAGAGCCACTCAGGGACAGGGAATTCAGAAGCTTGGCATGCTTGCAAAAGCATAAAAATTTCTTTTCTTTTCTTTTGTTTTTCTGAGATGGAGTCTCATTTTATCACCCAGGCTGGAGTACAAAGCTATGATTTAGGTTCACTGAAACATCTGTCTCCCAGGTTCAAGCAATTCTCCTGTCTCAGCCTCCCAAGTAGCTGGAATTACAGGTGTCTACCACCTGTCTCAGCCTCCCAAGTAGCTGGAATTACAGGTGTCTACCACCATGCCCAGCTAATTTTTGTATTTTTAGTAGAGACAGGATTTTTTCATGTTGGCCAGGCTGGTCTTGAACTCCTGATCTTAAGTGATCTGCCCACCTCAGCATCCTAGAGTGAGTGCTGGGATTACAGGTATGAGCCACCATGCGTGACCAAACATGTGCAAATTTTACCAATCAGACTTCTGGCTTCTCTCTCTATATGCAACCTGCTTGAATAATTGGTAAAAATTACTGTGTATTTCCTCTGTGAAGTTTTTTGTTTTAAGATGGAGTCTTGCTCTGTTGCACAGGCTGGAGTGCAGAGGCACGATCTTGGCTCACCACAACCTCTACCTGCCAGATTCAAGTGATTCTCCTACCTCAGCCTCCCAAGTAACTGGGACTAGAGGCACGCACCACCATGCCCAGCTAATTTTTTTATTTTTAGTAGAGACGGGTTTCACTATGTTGGCCAGGCTGGTCTCAAATTCCTGACCTCGTCATCTGCCTGCCTCGGCCTCCCAAAGTGCTGAGATTACAGGTGTGAACCACTGTGCCCAGCCTCTCTCTGTGAAGTTTTAACTGGAACATGCATTTGTGGGGCTAGTCTTAAGCCGTAACAAATCTGTTGTGCTTCATGTTCTAAATGTCTTTCTGTATTGTTCCATTATTAAGAGGGGTACCTTAGAATAGAATGCTGGTATAGGACCCCATAAGCCTGCTGTTTAAGACGGCCCAGGAAACTGATCACTCATGTCCTTGGAATCTTGACTCTATAATCATGTTACAGTATTTTCTCTTGATCTCCACCATCACAGTGATGGCCCGGCTTCAGGGTTCAATTCCCGGCTTACAGAACGAGTAGTTTCTTGTTTATTTTCGTGATATTTTAACATTTTGTTGATTCTATTCCTCTCCAGGAGCTGTCTTGAATTTTCCTTTCTCAGAAAACCTTTGAAGTTACTTTTGGCAAAGTTCAAAAGACAGATAATGGCTGTTTGGCCTGACTAATGTCTGGTCGTAAGTACTTTAAACATCCTTTTTTTTTAGACAGTGTTTTACTCTGTTGCTCAGGCTAGAGTGCAATGATGCCATCTCAGCTCACTGCAAACTCTGCCTCCCAGGTTCAAGTTAATTCTCTGCCTCAGCCTCCAGAGCAGCTGAGATTCCAGGCACACACACCAAGCCTGGATAATTTTTATATTTTTATTACAGAGGTGTTTCACCATGTTGCCCAGGTTGGTCTGGATTTCCTTTTTTTTTTTTTTTTGAGATGGAGTTTTGCTCTTGTTACCCAGGCTGGAGTGCAACGGTGCGATCTCGGCTCACCGCAACCTCTGCCTCCTGGGTTCAGGCAATTCTCCTGCCTCAGCCTCCTGAGTAGCTGGGATTACAGGCACCTGCCACCATGCCCAGCTAATTTTTTGTATTTTTAGTAAAGACGGGATTTCACCATGTTGACCAGGATGGTCTCGATCTTTTGACCTCGTGATCTACCCACCTCGGCCTCCCGGTCTGGATCTCCTGACCTCGTGAACCACCCACCTCAGCCTTCCAAAGTGCTGGGATTACAGGTGTGAGCCACTGTGCCTGGCCAATACTTTAAACTTTCTAAAAGAGCACTATGGTGAAAAGTCAGCTTAACTAACAGCAGATATTCAAGCTCTAAGAGTCTGGGACTCTTTGGGAAAAATAGAAGGTACCACAGACCCTGTTTTGGAAAACACCCCTTTTTCCTCACAAAACCCCAGGAATTGAAAGTGGATAGATCTCTCTCAAAATGAGGTTCTATTCTCTTTTGCATTGCATTATCTGATATTTTTGGCTTTGTGAGTTATCAGAAATTTCATATTATGAAAAAACTTTGGTATGTAATAACAAGGTAAGAAATATGCCTTTGAGAATGGCTAATAGCAGTTATAGGGAAATAATCAGTTCTTCACGTTTGGCTCAAAGAAGCATACTCTTGACTGCCTAGGAAATAGGGAGATGTAACCCCCCCCCATACCCCCAGTGAGAATTAAGACTTCCATGGGGATAAACTGATTCTCCTTTTTTTTTTTTTTTTTTTTTTAGACGGAGTTTCCTCTTGCTACCCAGGCTGGAGTGCAATGGCGCGATCTCGGCTCACCGCAACCTCCGCCTCCTGGGTTCAGGCAATTCTCTTGCCTCAGCCTCCTGAGTAGCTGGGATTACAGGCACGCGCCACCATGCCCAGCTAATTTTTTGTATCTTTAGTAGAGACGGGGTTTCACCATGTTGACCAGGATGGTCTTGGTCTCTTGACCTTGTGATTCACCCGCCTCGGCCTCCCAAAGTGCTGGGATTACAAGCTTGAGCCACCACGCCCGGCCTGATTCTCTCTTTTTTAGATCCAAGATCTGATGTAAAAATGAGACCCTTGGCTGGGAGTGGTGGCTCATGCCTGTAATCTGAGCACTTTGGGATGCCAAGGAAGGTGGATCATGAGGTCAGAAACTTGAGACCAGCCTGGCCAACATGGTGAAACCCTGTCTCTACTAAAAATACAAAAATTAGACCAGGCATGATGGCTCATATTTGTAGTCCCAGCACTTTGGGAGGCTAAGGTGGGCAGATCACCTGAGGTCAGGAGTTTGAAACCAGCCTGGCCAACAGAGCAAAATCCCTTCTGTACTAAAAACATAAAAATTAGTCCAGTGCAGTGGTGGGTGTCTGCAATTCCAGCTATGGGGAGGCTGAGGCAGGAGAATCATTTGAACCCGGGAGGCCAAGATTGCACTAAGCCAAGATCACGCCATTGCACTCCAGCCTGGGCAACACCGCGAGACTCCATCTCAAAAAAAAAAAAAATTAGCCTGGCATGGTGGCACTCACATGTAGTCTCAGCTACTTGGGAGACTGAGGCAGGAAAATTGCTTGAACCCAGGAGGCAGAGATTGCAGTGAGCCAAGATCATGCCACTGCACTCCAGCCTGGGCGACAGAGTAAGACTCTGTCTCAAAAATAATAATGATAATAAATAACATAAAATAAAAATAATCCCACCTACAATAACTGTAGTAACTATATTTAAAAATAAACATACGCAAAAGGGTGAAACAGCTTACATTATAATCTAAAGAACATCAAGTAAAAAATTAAATAATATACAAGTGGAAAAATATTACTTCAGTTATGATTTGGTATTATTAATATTTTAAAATATGTTTTACACAAAATGACCTACAGATATAATATAACCTCTATCAAAATACCAGTGACATACTTCATAGAAGTTTTAAAAAATATATCTAAAATTTTTATGGTACCACAAAAGACCCTGGATACCTAAGCAATCAAGCAAGAAAAGAAAAGCTGAAGGTATCACACTGACTTTGAAACCTACTACAAAACAATAGTAAGCCAAGCAGTATGATCCTTAAATAAAAACAAAGACATAGGTCAATGGAGCAGAAAAGACAGATCAGAAATATATCCATGTATTTACAGTTAACTGATTTTGAATATAGGTGACAGTTTTATAGAAAAGGAACAGTATCTTTAATAAATGGTGTTGAGAAAACTTTATGGCCACATGCAGAGCAATGAAATGAGATCCCTAGTTAACACCACATACAAAAGTCAACTCAAAATAAATTAGAAACTTAGATGTAAGATTTAAATCCCTAAACTAATAGAAAAAAATAGAGGGAGAGCACCATAACATTGCTCTGGGCAGTGACTTTTTTGCTTTAACCTCAAAATTCCAGAAAACCAAAGGAAAAATAGATGAGTCCGATTACTTCAAATTAAAAAGCTACTGCACAAAATCTGCTACAATCAACAGGATGAGACAACTAAAAATGGTAAAAAATATGTGCAAATCACACATGTAACAAAAGGTTATTGACAAAATAAAATCAGCAGTTCAGCAACTAATGAATAAATAAAGGAAATGTGGTAGATAGGCATAAGTAACAAGACCTTAGTTCAAGGGTGCGCTGTGTCCTTTTGTCTTCATACCAGCAGTGACATGATGGGGTACACTCTGGATGAGAAACTGTGGCTGCAGCAGCTGCAAGCACTGAGAAGGCAACGGCTAAAGGACCAGGAACTGAGCCCTTGGGAGCCGGGGCTGCCTCCAGAGAAGATGTGGCCTATGGAGAAATTCTGGAATAAGTTTTTGGTGAATAAGTTCCCTTGGCGGAACATGGTCTATAAGGTATATGGCAAGAGTATGTTTATTTTTACTCATGTACTTATACCTGTCTGGATTGTTCATTATTACATGAAATATCTTGTGGCTATGAATTCATATGCCATCGTTCAATTGAAGGCCAGATATTCCCAGGTGATACAATTGTGGAGACTGGAGAAGTAATTCAACCTATGAAAGAATTTCCTGATCAACATCATTAAAGATTATGTAAAAATTTAAAAGGCTCTGGGGGCCACGTTGGCACCGGCCAGTTGTCCTGGTGCTTGAGGAGGCAAGGCCATGAGTTCAAGGCCAACATGAGCAACGTTACAAGCTCTAATTGATTAACAAAAAAAAAAAAAAAAAAAAAAATTGAAAAGGCTCATGAGCCTAAGTTTGTTCCTACATAACCATATTTACTGAATTTTCTGGAACAGTAATTTAATAAACGTTAATCTCAGAAATTGTCATATTCCTTTTCAAGCATTGTACAATTTGAGACTGAGTAATTTAACAATAAATAAAAACTGGATATGCTAAACAAAACAAAAAAGGAAAATGTGGTAGATATACACTATGGAATAGTATTCATCTAAAAAATTCTATTATTTTCTTTTTTTTAAATTGTACTTTAGGTTCTGGAGTACATGTGCAGACCACACAGGACTGTAGCATAAATACACACATGGCAATCTGGTTTGCTGCCTCCATCCCCCTGTCACCTACATTTGGCATTTCTCCCCATGTTATCCCTCCCCGACCTCCCCACCCCCCCACCCCCACACTCCCCCACCACTGTCCCTTCCTTGACCACACCCAACAGACCTCAGCAGTGTGTGATGCTCCCCTCCCTGTGTCCCTGTGTTTTCATTGTTCAACATCCGCCTATGATTGAGAACATGCAGTGTTTGATTTGCTGTTCTTGTGTCAGTTTGGTGAGAATGATGGTTTCCAAATCCATCCATGTCACTACAAAGGACATGAACTCATCATTTTTTATGGCTGCATAGTATTCCATGGGGTACATGTGCCACATTTTCCTTGTCCAGTCTATCATCAATGGGCATTTGGGTTGGTTCCCGGCCTTTACTATTGTAAACAGTGCTTCTATGAACATACATGTGCATGTGTCTTTATAATAGAATGATTTGTAATCCTTTGGGTATATGCCCAGTAATGGGATTGCTGGGTCAAATGGAATATCTATTTCTAGGTCCTTGAGGAAGTGCCACACTATCTTCCACAATGGTTGAACTAGTTTACACTCCCACCAACAGTGTAAAAGTGTTCCTTTCTCTTCACATTCTCTCCAGTGTCTGTTGTCTCCAGATTTTGTAAAGATCACCATTCTGACTGGCATGAGGTGGTATCTCAATTTGGTTTTGATTTGCATTTCCCTAATAATCAGTGATGATTAGCATTTTTTCAAATGTTTGTTGGCCTCATATATGTCTTCTTTTGAAAAGTGTCTGTTCATATCCTTTACCCCCTTTTGGATGGGTTTGGTTTTCTTCTTGTAAATTTGTTTTAGTTCTTTGTAGATTCTGGATATTAGTCCTTTGTCAGATGGGTAGATTGCAAAAATTTTTTCCCATTCTGTTGGTTGCTGGTTCACTCTAATGATTGTTTCTTTTGGTGTACAGAAGCTCTGGAGGTTAATTAGATCCCATTTGTATAATTTGGCTTTTGTTGCCAATGCTTTTGGTGTTTTAGTCATGAGGTCCTTGCCTAATGGTTTTGCCTAGGTTTTCTTCTAGGGTTTTATGGTGTTAGGTCTTATGTTTAAGTCTTTAATCCATCTGGAGTTAATTTTAGTGTAATGACAGGAAGGGGTCCAGTTTCTGCTTTCTGCACATTGCTAGCCAGTTTTCCCAACACCATTTATTAAACAAGGAATCCTTTCCCCATTGCTTGTTTTTGTCAGGTTTGTCAAATATCAGATGGTTGTAGATGTGTGGCATTGCCTCTGAGGCCTCTGTTCTGTTCCATTGGTCTCTATTTCTGTTTTGATACCAGTATCATGCTGTTTTGATTATGGTAGCCTTGTAGTATAGTTTGAAATCAGGTAGCGTGATGCCTCTGGCTTTGTTCTTTTTGCTTAGGACTGTCTTGGCTATGCGGGCTCTCCTTTGGTTCCATATGAAGTTTAAGGTGGTTTTTTCCAGTTCTGTGAAGAAGGTCATTGGTAGCTTGATGGGGATAGCATTGAATCTATAAATTACTTTGGGCAGTATGGCCATTTTCATGATATTGATTCTTCCTAACCATGAGCATGGAATGTTTCTCCATCTGTTTCCTCCCTTATTCCATTGAGCAGTGGTTTGTCATTCTCCTTGAAGAGGTCTTTTACGTTCCTTGTTAGTTGCATTTCTAGGTATTTTCTTTTCTTTTCAGCAATTGTGAATGGGAGTTTGCTCATGATTTGGCTGTCTGTTAGTTTGCTACTGGTGTATAGAAATGCTTGTGATTTCTGCACATTGATTTTGGATCCTGAGACTTTGCTGAAGTTAGTTATTAGTTTAAGGAGATTTTGGGCTGAGATGATACAATCTTCTAAATATACAATCATGTCATCTGCAAATAGAGACAATTTGACTTCCTCCTTTCCTAACTGAATACCCTTTATTTCTTTTTCTTGACTAATTGCTCTGGCTACAACTTCCAATACTATATTGAATAAGAGTGGTGAGAGAAGGCATTTTTGTCTAGTGCCAGATTTCAAAGGGAATGCTTCCAGTTTTTGCCCATTTGGTATGATATTGGCTGTAGGTTTGTCATAAATAGCCTTGATCATTTTGAGATATCTTCCTTCGATATGTAGTGTATTCTGTTTATGTGGTGAATTATGCTTATAGATTTGCGTATGTTGAACCAATCTTGCATCCCCAGGATAAAACCTACTTGATCATGATGGATAAGCTTTTTGATGTGCTATTGCAATTGGTCTGCCAGTATTTATTGAAGATTTCTGCATCGATGTTCATCACAGATATTGGCCTGAAGTTTTCATTTTTTGATGAATCTCTGCCAGGTTTTGGTATCAGGATGATGTTGGTCTCATAAAATGATTTGGGAAAAAAATCCCTCTTTTTGTATTGTTTGGAATAGTTTCAGAAGGAATGGTAACAACTCCTTTTTGTACATCTGGTAGAATTCAGCTGTGAATACGTCTGG